TAGGAATTTGTTGATGTCTTAAAGATTTTCTAGTATATTAGAGTTTAAATTTTCAAATTAGCGTCTGATTATCCTTTGTATTTCTTTGGGGTTGGAGGTCTCTCTTTGATTCTGGATATAAATATTTAGTTGGATTTTCTGTAGTGGCTCAAACTTGCCCCTTCAGCAAAGGGCTAGGCTAAGCTAGAATCAGAGTTTTTGGGCCTCTACAAAGAGTTTCTCTGCTATTGCAGTTTTGGATTGTGAAAGAGAGATTGGGTGTGTTGTGTGATGCTTTGCAAGTGCCTTCGTTTGGCACCTAGAGTCCTCCATGTCTTTTTAAAAATAGTAATGTCTGTTACTGGCTTTTCAGATAAAAATTAGTTGTAATAGTTCTTATTAGATCCATAGTTCTGTAGAGCTTGAAATAATGTAAAACTAGAAAAGAGAAAAAATAATTTGTAATCGACCAATACATTTTGTGTAGCTAATTGAAAGTATTTCTTTTGAGAGCTTAACAATATTTTATTCCTGTGGCATATTTCATTGTCCTTTAAAATACCATTTAATTAAATCATTTTAGGGTTATTTAGGCTTGGAATTTTGAAGTTTATTACTTTTACTGTAGAAAAGTATAGGAATTAGTCTATAATAGATTTTTCTTCTGCCAGTTTTCTTACGATTTTTAAAGTATCCCAAACACTGATTTTTATTATAATGGTTTAAAAGAGAACACAAATCTTTTCGTTGAGTTAGGCATGTCTTATTTATTTTTTTCCTCCTTTTGATGTAGTGTTATTTTTCACTGAATTTTTGATTCTCTCCTGAGCTGTTACTGAGTGTAGAATTATGAAATAAAGATACATTTATACTTTTAATTTGTGTTTCACCTCTACCTTTTGTGGAAATTACCAATTGTTACATCTTGGCATTTTTAAAATGTGAATCTCACTGTCTAGTCTGATTTTATTACTGTATGCAAATGTTGCCCTGTAAATGGCCAAGTGAAATAAAAAATTTAATTGTTTATGAACAAATGAAAGTGTAGGCTTTGCAAATAAAAGAGCTTTATAAATATCAAATAAGCTGAATAATGACAATTATGGCAAATTCAAGTAGAAACTAATTTTGCCACGTCTGTTATTTTTAATATGACAGCTCTACTCTTTTTTAAAAAATTTTATTTATTTATTCCAATTAGTTATATATGACAGCACAACACATTTTGATTCATTGTACACAATTGCAACACAACTTTTCATTTGTCTGGTTGTATACCATGTAGCACCACACCATATGTGCCATCACACATGGACCTAGAGTAATGATGTCCATCCCATTCCACCATCTTTCCAATCTTTACTTTTTGATGGGCACGTTTTCTGTCAGATTCTGGAGTAAGCCTTTGTCACTTAGTGGAGTTCATGGTGATACTTGGACTTTGGCATTATTAGGAACAACTCTTGAAGCACTGCATGGTAGTGTATTGAAGCTGGGGCCATTATGGACACTGCTTTTAGAGATATGTGCAATTTTTCTTTTAGACGGTTTTATTATTTACTTTTGACCCTTTTGGAGACTGTTGACCTCATGATTTTTTGGTGGGTGAATGAATAAGTAGTTAAAATGATGACTAAAATCTAATAGCAGATTAAGATGTCTTTGGTGTCTACTAAAAATGAAAAGATATTTTAAGTGCTTTACATTTAGTCCTTCAACAATCTTCTGAAACGGCTATTATTAGGAGCCTCATTTTATAACTGAGAAAACTGAGGCCTAGGGAGGTTTATAATTAGCTTAAACATACATAGCTGACAAGTACCAGAGCTATGATATTAACTCAGGAACTAGGTTTCAGAGTAGACTCTTCTAAGTAGTTTGTTCTACTGAAAAGAAACCAGGCTCTGTATAGCAGTTTTCTAGTCACACAGATGTAGTGAGTTAAAACATAAAATTTCTGTTGGTCAGAAATCTAGCATGAGTCTTCTTGTGTTAAAATCAAGTAGTTGGGAAGGGCTGTGTTCCTTTCTGGAGGGTCTAGGGGCAGTTTTTTCCTTGCTCTTTCCAGCTACTGTAGGCTGCCATTAGCTTGGCTCCTGGCCCCCTTCCTCCAGGTTCAAAATCAGCAGTGGTTGTGGACATCTTTCTCACGCTGCATCTCTCTGACCTACTTTTTTGCTACCTCCTTTCTCTTCTAAGTATTTCTGGGATTAGATTGAGCACATGTGGGTAGTTCAGGTGAATTTCTCCAACTTAAGGTCTTTAATCTGATCACACCTGTGAAGTACCCTTTGCCATGACCTGCTCAAAGGCTCTGGGGTTTAGGACATGAGTCTCCTTGGGGAACTGTTATTTGACTTAATCACACCCTATTCTGCTGATTTTCTGACTCAAGTTATTTTTACAAGTGAATGTGGGAAAACTTGACTTTCTTTAAATTATGTAATGAAATCTTTTCATGTAATTGAAGTTCTAGTCTTTGGAACTTTATCAATTAATTTGTATCACATTATTAAAGGGGATTGTATAAATGAGGAAGATGTAAATTTTGTAGATATTGCTTCAAATGTTACTAAGGACATTAAAAAATCAGTGGAGTGAAGAAGTTTTCTATAAATAAAGGGAAGAAATTTTGTCTTATTCTTAATCATGAACAATAAGTCCTAAGAGTCTGCTTGTGGAGTGCTCTGCAAGTCAGCCTAGAAAGTAACAGCCATTTTCAGCAGGGAGTTTAACATGGGCTCTTAAAGCTCCCTTCTCATCTTGTGAAACAGTGGGATTGAGCATGTAATCCATTAAAATTGACACTTTGATAGAAGAAGTTGCAATAGGAAATCCCTGGGTAAAACGGATTTCCCATTGGGGTGCCATAAATTAAGGTTGGAGGTGATTCCTGAGAACTTTCAGGTTATTATTAATTAAGTGAGAGTTTTGATTGCTTGTGAATGAGTCGTCTCTCAGATGTCTTATTTAAAGGTAGAGTTGCGAGTGACTTTTCTGTGACATTTTCTGTCATAGTTTAAAAGTGATAGTTTGCAAGATATATTTTATCATCCACACAACAGTTTTGTGAAGTAGTCAGGGCAGGTACTGTTGTCAGTACTATTATTATTTTCATACTTATCTATTAATTTTAAGTATATGATCATATATTCAAGGTATAAAAATGATATAGAATTTTGTATGGGTATGCATCATCTAATTAAAAAATAAAGAAAATGAAAAGTCAAGGCATAGATTGGCAGAAGCAAATAACACATTAACAAAAAATGATTAACATCCTTTTTGTTTACCAACTACATGTTAGTGAAGAAAAGAAATGGCATAATAAAGACCTGGGCAAGTAATGGGCAGTTAACAGAAAAGTTCATGCTCATGGAAAGGTTGGCATTGATTTGATAGAGATTAAATATCCAGAATATATAAAGAACATCTATAAACTAGTAAAACAAGCGAAGAGAATAGACAAAATTATGAACGTGCATTTTGTTTTGTACAAAACCCCTACTAACTAATGTAAGAAAAATTGTGCATACTCTAACTATTCAGACATTATTTTAAAAATCATTTTATAGATATGGAAACTGATTCCCAGGGAGATTTGAGGGACTGGTCTGGGGTCAACTAAGATAGTTGTTGTTTGAGCCTGGCCTCATGCTGTTTCCACTTCAAATATGTAAAGAATGTATTTTGAAAGACTTTCTCTTGTTGTTCTTATCAGTCACAGTATTTTGTAATTACAGGGAAACTATTGTTTAATTTATATGTAGTTATTCAGCCATCAGGTAGAAGGATGGGAAAATGTGGAGAAAAGCCAATAATTGTAGTAAAAATGTTGGTTTAAGCTTTTGGACTCCCAGTATGTC